CTCCACCTTATTGTCCCGTTCAGATCTACAAACGCGAAGGGCGTCTTCCAAAGCCGCTACCTGAGAGATGGCAGTCGCCCTATCCCTTTTAGCACGAGCCAATCCATCAGCCTTAACACTCAGCTCGCCCTTCAGGTCGACAGCCTCCACCGCCCTTCTATCAAGCTCAGCAGTTAAGGAGGCCACACATGCTTGAAGTTCGGCATTCTCGGCCATCACCCCCTTGCTCACCTCAAACTCATCTTCCTTGGCCTTAATAGCTGCCTCAAGTTCACTACACCGGGCAATAGCCTTCATTAACTCTTCGTCCCGTTCTTTCAGCTCTTCGACCATTTGTGCCAACTGTTTCTCCTTCTGCTTGAGCCCGTCACGGAACAACTGAAAATCGCTGTCCTGAGTAAAGATATCGGCCGATGCCCGATGCTTGGTGCGGTACTCTTTGTATTTAGAGGCCACTTTCCCAAAAACGGTCGTCTTCTACCTATCCCTCCGATCGCTCTCAATCTCCATGATAAGGGTCTAGCATGCAAAGCGAATTCAAAACTATGAGTGAATTAAGTATACAAAACGAATCCAAAAACAAAAAGAAGAAAGAGAAACACTTACCCGCAAAGCCATGCCGGAAATACTCCAAGATAGCTCTACATCACTCATCGCCTTAAGCGTCGCACTCTCAGAAGCACCGCACAAAGGGGCAAACGTCGATGCTGCCTGCTCGCAATTCGCCAACAAGTCGTAATCCACAGGGATGACTATGTGTCGATCAGGACCCTCCGTCCTCACTTCCACACGAGTATGTCGCTCCAAGAAAGCTCGTACATCTTCGGGGTCGACGTCCGAACCTGAATCGTCGTCCTCGGCATGCACAACCCCACCTCCTCCGACAGTAGATGACGCACCACCCTCGGTGTATCGTACAGATCCCCCGCCTAGATATATTCCTTCGGCCTTGGGGGACCTCCCTGCAAAAATGGCGTCCGCCATAAAAACACCTGTGCCTGACCCAAGCAATGACGCCGCTCTCGAAGCATCAATTCTGTTCCTTCCAATATCGGTGGCGACAGCTTTCCCAAGATCCACCCTCCTCCTTTTCCTCGATGGTGATTCATCCCCATTGGAGGGCTCATCCACGAGGTGGTAGATTGGTCGAGAGGAGATCTCATCCCATACAATGACGTCATAAGAAGAGTCTCTTTCCGGTACAGTTTGGGCACGATCTCCTCGGACGGACTCAGCTAAGGCAAACTGCATCCCTGCCGATACGATGGCCTGGCGAAATGCCGGGACTGGAGCTTTCTTCTTGGAAGCCCTACGACTTATCACCACGAAGAGGTCGTATCAATAAACGACAACGAACAGTCAAAGGCCAAAGCAAAAGGAACACTTACCAAATGGAACTTTCCGCCCAAAACGTTTGAGAATGGCGGGCCAATCTCGAGTCCCCGCCACATAAGGTAGTACGCGAGCTACCTAGTCCTCGATACCGAAAATGGGAAAGGGTGCACGTCTCTCAGCTGTACAGAAAAGTCGCAAGTAAATACAAATTAGAAAGAATGAAAGTAAACAATAAGTGCCAGCACCTACGGTTATGATTCCACTATTCTGGAAATCTAGCGGGGTCCGACACCAGGTGCTCAGTTCTGATGAAGAAATATTTGTGCCAAAACTTGCAGCTCGCTCGGTCGTCCGTTCCGACCACCAACCCCCTAGTTCCATGATGTCGTAGGTGTATCATGGTGCCCCTATAAAAACTCGGGGAAAATAAATGTAAAAGGTGGTGAATGCCAACTTCACACCCAGCCAACTCCGAATACTTCGTCAGTACTAAAAAGATTTTATACATATACGGAGATAACTGTGCCGTGCAGACTTTGTAGAACCGACAGAATTCCTCCGCCAGTGGAAGAAGAGGGATGGTATGACCGATCACAAAGGGATACACGTAGAAAGCAGAATATCCCGGTCTGTGGACCTCCACGAGGTCCCTCCCAGCCAGAACCATCTCGACATAAGGAGGAATATTGTACGTAGATCGGAGTTCATTTATGTGAGCCGACTCAGTTTCAGAGATCACCAGAACGGGGGAAGGTGCAGATTCCTTGTGGAAATTATTCCTGGACATAGGGTTTCTTGGTAGTATCTCCTCTATAGTGGGGAAACTATCCCCCTCCTCAATCGCTATATCCTCGCTGCCGAAAGGAAGGGCCATGGATAACGGAGTGGCGTCGGAAACTTCTTCGTATATTCGGTGTGTTCTGGGCATCTTGGTAATAGAGAGGGTGTTGGTAAAACTTAAAATGAGGAACTGTGATTGAACGGAAAAGATGAGAAGCAAAACCACGAAAACTGAGCTAAAGAACTGAGAAAGATGATCAACAGTGGAAATGTGTACACAAAGAAATGGCTAAAAGTTTCCGAAGAAGCAAAACCTTCACCTATTTATAGGGTTGGATGGCGCGAGAATCGAAGCAGAGGACTGCCAATGGCGCTAAAACCAAAGCGACAAGCAATCAGACGCTGTCTCGGGAAGGTGCGTAATAATGACGCGCGTGGGAGTGACGTCACATCCTGATAACTATATCGATTAGGGTTCCGTAGGACGTGTCAACCTCTCAGCCTCGGCCAAATCGGCACGACCCAACGGCCAAATTCTGCAACGGGAACGAATGATATCGGCTCATCAAGGACGTGCAGGGCCACGACCTCAACAAGCGGAGGGACTAACTGTATGGGTCCAAATTTGGCGATTCAGCAGTAACGGATAAGCAAGACAAAAGGCGGGATCGACCATGGTATACCAACTGAAGGTCGCTCTCAAGACGGTTGATGCCAAAGATGGGCAGCTGAGAAGAGGAAGTAATGGTAGCATAGGTTCAGGTATGGACACAAGGAATATTCCTTTGGATATTCCTTGCTTTAAACTTTTTAGGGTTTTTGGGAAATGTCCCTTATAAATAGGAAGAGATAGAAAACAAAAGAGGGGATCTGAACTTTATGGGAAGCAACACTTTGTAAAAGGTTGACCTGAAAGAATATATGAAAGTTGTCTTATTCATTGATTACATAACTCAAGCATACGTTTTTGATTCTATATTGATAAGATCCAAAGATTCCTCAACCCTCTCTTATCTCCTTTCTTTCCACGCTGTTGTCTGGGGAAGGAGCTTTCTGAATGTTACAATAATTGGGTAGTAACTTTCTTTTGTTATGCTAGTCGCATTTATTTAGATTCGTTATGCATTTATGTTGTTGCATTTATGAGCATTTAATCAGCTCAAACATATTAGCTAACGTTGTTTATTTTGTCTACTTCACCTAATATTTGATCTAAATTTTATTATTCTTAACTAAGATTTACCCCTCTTCTCATCATTAATTGGTTTAATCAAAAGGCTTAATATCTTTTGGTCAAACAAGTTGTATAGTGTATGCTGCAAGTGAAATGGACGAGGAAGTACGTTAGAGTCTAGAGGGATTAAAAAAAGGCGTAATAATTGACAGGGCATAACACTAAATTCATTCTAACTACGCTTTATTTTTATAACAAATTAATAGAAAAGGACTATCCTTTTGGACACTTTGGTAACTGCTCTTTATAGATTCAAGAACTGAATTGTAACCTATAAACTAGCAGTTCATTTTCTCTTCATTAGATATTTGGGAAGATATAGTTTGTGATTTTTACAACAAAGTACACACAGAGCAGTAATTTGGATTTTGCTTGCTATAACTTATTGGTGTCAATGGTGAAAACAATGTGTAATAGTTGAGCATCTACACTTCAGAGAGAGAGAGGAGTTAGCGCTAATTATGGCTAAAAATAGGTACATATACAACTGGAAGGAGTCTTATTGAAAAGGAGTGGAGAAGAAATAGAAAAAAAAAATGTAACTAAATTCTTTAATTTTAAGGCATTAATAATGGATTGTATATAATTTGTAAGTAATCCTTGTTTAAAGCGGGTAATATATAAAATTAGAACAATTTTGGTAAATAAGTTACAAATATGTATAGGAAGAAAAAAAAACCCATTTTTTTGCAAAAAATAAAAGGCTGGCCCGCGCTAACCCGCGGCTCTCTTAGGGCTAGGTTGGGCTGGCCATTTTAAGGCACATTCAAATGGCGGGTCGGTCCGTCCTAACCCATCAAATTTAAAAATCCGCGAGGCTTGGTCTGGATTGGACTGGACTGATCTGTTTTGACAGCTCTGTCGAGGAGGCAAATGAAATCTGAAAGAAAAACCAAAAATAAATAAATGAATAAAATGAATTTGAAAGCAACAGATGGATTTAAGAAGAGATGTATTATTACTACTTACCACCAAAGGATGTGGTGTAGTGGATGAGACTGTTCTTCCCTTAACTAGAGGTCTCGAGTTCGAGCCCTGGGTATGGAAAAATCCTTGGTAGGGAGCGCTTCCCCCCGGGTGAAGCCCTACGCTGCGAGAATCCGAATATAGTCAGATTTTAATGCGGGTACCGGACACTGGGTGGGAAACCCCAAAAAAAAAGTATTATTATTATTACTTGCCCTTAGCTTTTTTAAATAAGTTTTAAATTAACTAGATAATAATAATTTTCCTACTTTAATGTATTCTATTTAGAAGTCTATTTTGTTTTCAATTTTGAATGTCCTATTTAATTTGAGAGTTAGTGAAAAGTGTGGATAAATTTTAAAATATAATTGATGATATTGTGAGCTCTGGAGCTAGCGAGAAAAGATATTTATATTTGTATATAATGCATGAAATTTGCTAGTTCTATCTCAATTAAGTTTATTACAATATCATAAGGTATTTTATTATTTTCTTTTATGATCGTGCGAAGTGAGGATAACTTGATTAGTTTAAATATAATTTAACTTTTAATTTTTTATTTTATCTTATGATTGATTTTTTTTTTTTTTTGTTAAATTAATAAATTGAGACTAAGGGAATAGTAGTATTTTGGAGTCGCAACATAGTCAAAAGCATGGAGCTCGTGGAAAATCATATACTCCTAGTAGCCTTGAAAGTAGTTTAGCAACGTTCTTCTCCGTTTTCCCTCACAAATCAGAATTAGGAATTGTCACGCTCCATGGTCTTCGGCGTTTCATAAAACCCCTCTAACTTCACTTCCCAATTATGTATCAGTTCGACGCCGTAAACAACCGCAGCACCACCGTTACAACCATAGTACCACCACCACCTACAAGCGTAAGCTTGATCAAATAGTTTCCTCTGAATCCTTGGCTCCTTCCCCTATCAGAATGCGAAAAGACCAAACTCTCCCTCCCTCTCCTCCTATTCCGGTTCAGTTCTTCGTCCGTTTGTTTCCCGGAGGCAAAACGCTAGTTATCCGAGCGCATTCTACGGACCCTGTGGAGTTCATCCACTATAAAATCATGACGATCACCGGTATCCCCGCAGTCGAGCAACGGCTAATTTACAGGGGAAAGCAGCTCCAGCCAGAGCAAACATTGGCGGACTGTGGCATCCAAAAGGACGAGAGCATGCAGCTCGTTGGTCGATTGCGGAGCGTAGATCATCCTCAGGCGCGGCAGCTCATCAATGGCTTAATTTCATTAATCTTCGATATTTTTAAAAGCAAAAATCCTTCGATTCCTTCGGACTCGGACTCGGATCGTATAATAAGGATGCTTATAGGGTTTTTAACAATGACTCCGAAGGATACTATTGAAAAAGCCCGCGAACATATCAAAATATTCATCTCCTCGTCGGCTCCTACAGCTCTGGTAATGCTTTATATGTCTCCAGATAGTGCTAACAAATTTACTGCTGATAAATCTGTTCGTTCATTTATCAGTTCATATAAGAGTATGTTGCCTAAGCGCATATACGTTTTATGTACTCCTATAGTGTTACAATTTTGTAAGCTTCTCAGAGGTGCTGGACTAGATGATTCTTTGTATAAATTTTGTCGGAGTAGTTTAGGGGATATAGCTGAGTCCACTGGTATCTTGAGGCGCAAGGCTACTGCGGGGTTATTAGCATTGAAGGACGAAATTGTTTCCTCTGAATCCTTGGTCCCTTCCCCTGTTAGGATGTTAAAAGACCTAACTCGAGTTCAGTTTTTTGTACGTTTATTTCCTGGAGGCAAAACGTTAGTTATCCAAGCTCATTCTACGGACCTTGTGGAATCCATTCACTATAAAATCATGAGGATCACTGGTATACCCACAGCAGACCAACGGCTAATTTACAAGGGAAAGCAGCTCCAGTCAGAGCAAACATTGGCGAACTGTGGTATCCAAAAGGACGAGAGCATGCAACTCGTTGGTCGAATGCGAAGCACAGATCATCCTCAGGCGTGGCAGCTCATCAATGACTTAGTTTCACTAATCTTCGATATTTTGAGAAGCAATTATCCTTCGGTTCCTTCAGATTCGGATCATATAATCAGGATGCTTATACAGTTTTTAACTATGACTCCCGGGGATAATATTGAAAAGGCCTATGAACACATCAAAATATTCGTCTCTTCATCCGCTCCTGCAGCTCTGGTAATGCTTTATATGTCTCCAGATAATGCTAACAAGTTTACTGCTGATGAATCTGTTCGTTCATTTGTTAATTCATTTACGAGTATGTTGCCTAAGCACATATGTGTTGGATGTGCTCGAATAGTGTTAGAGTTTTGTAAACTACTGAGAGGGGCTGCCGGGCTTGATGACCGTTTGTATAATTTTTGTCGGAGTAGCTTAGGGGCTATAGTAGACTCCATTGGGAACGCAAGGCACACTAAGGAGTTATTGGCATTGAAGGATGTTTTTATGTTTGTATGTGAGGTAGTAGTACCTGAGTTATCCCATGCTTTAGAATTGAGTAAGGGATCAGTTGAGTCTACAGGGGGGTTATCAGTGAGCATTGTGCGTGATTTTACTGAGTATATGCTTGCACTAAAGAAAGTAATACCGTCGCGAATATTATTTGTCACCAGTGAAGCAGTGTGTGTCAGAGAGTGTATTAAATGTTTGCATCGTATTTTATATGATTTGCTAGACAAGATGGAGTTGTGTTTAAAGAAATTAGAAGCCCAGTTGGGATTGAAAGAGATAGGAAAAGGCAAACCTATTGTACCCTGGTGGTCTCTTTATCTTGTAATTCTGAAGGAGTTAAACAGCATTTCAAAGCTGTTTAAGGGCTTGGAGAAGATCTTTTGGCAGAAGATGAAGCAAAGAAAGGTTTCACTGTGTTTTTTGATAGTGGCATCTGCAAAAAGATCTAACGATTATCGGTGGATTCTTGAACACAAGGAGGTAACCAATTTTGAGGTAAGGAGACATTTCGCAATGATGATGCTTCGAGAAGTTAGAAACGGAAACCAGGCGCTGCATGAGATGCTCATTGACAGGTCCCAGTTGTTGGCAGAATCATTCGAGTACATTAGACATGCAGATCCTGCATTGCTTCGAGGTAGTCTTTTTATGGAATTCAAACATGAAGAAGCTACTGGGCCGGGTGTGTTGAGGGAGTGGTTTTTCTTGGTATGTCGAGCGATCTTCAATTCTCAGAATGCTCTCTTTGTAGCTTGCCCAAATGACCGTAGAAGGTTTTTCCCAAATCCAGGTAAGCTTTTATTGCCTTTTTGCACATGCTTATGGGACCTTTTGTGCTCACTTGAACTCGTATATCTCCAGATTTTACTCTGCACTAGATCTGGCAGCAACATCTTACTCCTTACTCTTCTAAGTAATTAGATTATCTCCAATCATAACATCGTATTTAGAAGTATATCGTCTATCTGAGGGAGAATCTGTCCTGTCTGCATCAGCATATTCAACAATTTATGGATGACCTTTGTTCTTTTTATATACACTAGAGTGCGGATTACTGCATCCCAAAAGCCAATGCATGGAGCTTGAAGAATCTAACGGATCACAGTCACTACAAATGAAATATCTTGTCGTGTAATTATGAAATAGTTTAATTTGGTATTCATATCTGTCAGGATCTTCCTATGGCTCCTTATCTTGGAACACATTTGATGTTTGGATCCATAGGAGTATTCGATGTTGCTTGGATGCAGGTGCAAATGTCTAATATAGGTGCGGATCTGGATGTTGGATTCGCCATCACATAAATTTTAGGATTCAAGATATATATATATATATATATATATATATATATATATATATATATATATATATATATATATATATATAACATTACCTACTTAAGAATGTTGAAAATAACTAATATCAATATGTAAGTCAACAGTGTAAGTAAGAATAACTTGATTCCTATTTAATTAATTTAAATGACTAATGATTATTGTGTAATTTTGACTTAATTTTTTATTTTTAGTTAATTACTTATTCGGGTCCTGGGATACGACTTGCATTTTAGGAGAATCTGACACGGGGTGCAGCATCATTTTTTAAGGATCCGAGCAACATAGGGAGTATCAACGTTTTTGAAATCTAAGCCTATCTCCACCAGTATGTCCAAGATGTACTTCCTTTATGGGATAATAACACTTGTCTTGGATTGTATTGCCTCAATCCTTTGAAAACACTTTAATTTTTCTCTAGATATTTGGTCTGAAAAAGACTGAACAAGTGTTTTTTGAGTTTAAAAAAAAAAAAAAAAGCCTTCCTGGTCATTGCTTATAATGACAATTTCATCCACATAGACTACCGATAGATATAAATTATCATGACCATCCCTTCTCAAAATAAAAATCAATTGTCATGACCATCATGTGGACAGTGGAAATATAACTTCGAGACATCCCGACTTGTTGGAACACATAACTGAACCTTCCAAACCATGTTATCCGGAATTGTTCCAAATCCGTGCCCGTTACAGACGCATACCAAGCCTGGCTGCCTAATATGAAAAATCTTGGTAGTTAATCTTCTTCTTCCCCAATCTGCACCAACTTGTCTTTACACTAGACAAGCAGATAAAGATGTGGAATAACAATCTAGAGGAGTTAGTCTGATTTATAACCATATTGTTTCTACAAGAAAAGAGAGTGAAAGATTGGTCAGCTGTGAAATCCCATTGTATTTGAAGAATCAAGGATTTGTTGGGGAATTCCGAGGCAGATCGAAATATCGTGTGGGAAAACCTAAATCGATGTGAATAGAAGATGTAGTTTTTATCAGTAATGAGGTACAAAGTCACTCGACTGGAAGGAGAGGAAACAATTATAGAATCTCAACTGTGACAACATCAGGCCACTTTTCGTTGCCCCATGGTTCTCCTTCGAGATACCCCACAAGGGAATTTTTCAGATGAACAACCATAAAACCCCAATTGAGGCGTCCCTTCTCTCTTACTCGCAATCACAGTGCTCACCATGCATGTAAAGATATATTCGCTTTCACGTCTTCTTGACCCAAAATGACATTTAATTTTAGAGGACATCCAAAATACAATAATAGATCTTGTCTTTAATATTAATAAAGAAATATCAATGCTTATGATTCAGTAGTTGGCTGCAACCTTACACTAAAGAAGAAAGGCCGCATTAAGAATACTTTGATTGCACTGCATATGCAGTACTTCTGAGTGATGTTATCATTTTTCTCCCCGTCAAGAGGTTAGATCACTGGGGATTTCCTGGTGAGAGGGTTATTTGCAGCCGAACTTTATTTTTAAGATAATTGCTAGCTGTTTGAGACAATCATTTAATGCATCACAGAAAGTAATGTTACTCTCACTGTTTGAATGTACATAATGCTCATCTACAAGTTGTGCTTGCAGCATCTAAGGTGGACCCATTGCACCTCGAGTATTTCTGCTTCTCAGGTAGGATGATTGCATTGGCTTTAATGCATAAAATACAAATTGGCGTAGTGTTCGATCGTGTGTTCTTTTTGCAATTGGCTGGAGAGGAAATTTCATTGGAAGACATTAGGGATGCAGATCCATACATGTACAGTAGCTGCAAGCAGATACTGGAGATGGATCCTGAGACGGTGGATCAAGATATACTAGGCTTGACATTTGTTTGTGAAGTTGAAGAGTTAGGGTCCAGGAAAGTGGTCGAGCTTTGTCTCGACGGGAAAGATACTGTTGTGAACAGTAAGAATAGGAAGAAGTATGTTAATCTTCTTATTCAACATTTGTTTGTCACATCAATTGCTCAGCAGGTAGCCCATTTTTCTCAAGGTTTTGCTGATATAACTACCTCAAGGCTCCAAACATCCTTTTTTCGGAGTTTAGATCTTGAAGATCTTGACTGGATGCTTGATGGGAATGGAAGTACGGTTTCTGTGGAAGACTGGAAAGCACATACAGATTACAAAGGCTACAAAGAAAGTGATCCCCAGATATCCTGGTTCTGGAAGGTACATGAAGTCAGTTATTCTCACAATATTTAGTAGGCGTTTGGACATGAATTCCAAAAAAAAAATTCAATTTTGGAATTTCACTAAAATTTGAATTGAAGATGAAGTTATGTTTGGTTATAATTTTTGCAACATATTTGGATGTCTCTTTTTCAACATATTTTGCAACTAAAAACTAGCAACCTTCCCATTTTCAGTTGAAGTTTTTCAGATTTGAAAATGCATTTTCAAGTGAGAATGGAAAAAATATAAAATTTTGATAACCAAACACTGTTTTCAAAAAAAAAATTGAAAAAAAAGGAAAATTTTCTTACGTCCAAACGGGCTCTTAGACTTTGAACTTTCACCCTTCTTTTCTTCATTACTTTTAAAAGCAGAAAATTTCTGACACTAAAAATTCATTTTATTCAAAGTTGCACTGGCAGCATTTGTTTTGGGGAGTAGCTAAAGTACATACTATTTTTTTTATTTACCGGCTTTTCTACTGGTAGCACATGTTTTTGCCTTAGTAACGCTTGATAATAACGACACGGTTGAAGCATGAACATCACGGAATGGATATGGATCCCAAATAAATTGATTATTGTAAGCTGGAATAAGTTGTTGTCACTCTGAATATTATGAGGACAAACCTCAAGTGTTAGGAGATCTATGATTCATACCAATAATGTTGGTTTTCTTTCATTGCATGCAGATAGTTGGGCGTATGTCTGCTGAGCAGAGAAAGGTGCTCCTTTTCTTCTGGACTTCAATTAAGCATCTACCTCTAGAGGGTTTTGGTGGTTTGGCTTCTAGACTTTACATCTGCAGAACCTCGGAGTCTTATGATCACTTACCTTCTGCACACACATGCTTCTACCACATACGCTTTCCTCCGTATCAATCCATGGCTGTGATGCAAGATCGACTCCGGGTAATCACCCAAGAGCATGTTGGTTGCAGCTTTGGTACCTGGTGACATCTACCAATTTTGGGATTGAACTTGCACATAATCAGCTTGTACATGAAGTAGGATATACTTACCTATTTAAAGCTTGATGTTTATGGTCTACTTTTGTTTCCCCTCTCTATATGGCTGAAGCATGCATCACATACTGACGAGTCTATGACAAGTTAGAAGAACTAACTGAACTTTGCTTACTTCTTGCTGAATGCAAGCCCTTTCTTTTTCCTTATCAACTTTTATAGAATATAGAGGTATCAGATCTAACGATAAGGAAAGAAATTCCAGTCCATCTTGTCTTCTCTATGCATTGTCAGTTTCATTTTTTCTTTTTTTCTTTTTTCCCCTATTAGTTTGTGTTTACATGGTTGATTGTATTTCCAGCCTCTCTTTTTTCATCAATGGTGTATAGAGGTATATTATCTATTGATAAAGAAAAAAGGTTAAAAAATCTAATCTTAACTCTGCCTTTTCTACGCGTAAGTAAGTCTCATTCTCACTTGAATTCAAGTACAAAAACACTAGAGTTGTAAATTTGTTGGTTGGCATCTGTATTACTTATTCCGTATCTGGATGTCATTCTCTCTGTCATCCTCCTCTTCTCCAATCCGCATTTACTCGATGTGGAATTAACGATCTACAGGAGCTAATCTGATTTATGATCATATTTCAAGGTGTTTCTATTTGTACAGCGTTTTGCCAAACCATTGTTATGTATGTATTTATGCAGCTAGCAATGCTTCATACTTGTTTAATTTTTCTAATGTAAATACTGAACCTTTTCCTCTTTGATCAGGCATCTAAGGTTATTCTTGTATTCCAGTCCAAAACTTCTGAGTATTGCGAACTTGCAAGTTGGCATCTATATTTCTCTTTATGTGATATCTTACCTCTTCAAAATGGCATTTTTTTCCTTAAGTTCACTCAATCAATTAAAGGCCAAACAAGTCAACTAGTCCGGATTGTCCCGCACCCAACGTTTACACGAATCCATACTAATTTAACATGGTTAACTAATAAACTAAAGTAAAATGTTATTAATTAACTATGGACTAGTGATAGTCATGTGTTCATTGGATTGGTATAAACACCAGATATGTGTTTACCTGTCCCATATCTTATACATCTAAAAACTTTCTGAAATGAAATGCTATTCAATGTGTACACAACAAAATTAACATTACCAGCACCATCCTACTGCTCTGAACTCGCCTATTACACACCAATGACATCAGTTTTTGGTTTAACACAGCAAATTTCTAAACCAAACAGGCTCTTTCGACCAAGACATTCTTCTATAAAATAGGTGAATACCCTCTTTGGACAAAATCAAAAGGACCTAAACAACATGTCAAACATACAAAAGAAAAGCAAAAACCACAATGTTGAAAGAATGAAATAAATGGACAGTAGCAAAAAATTACAAATAAATTTCTGACAAAATTGTAAACTAACTATTTTAAGAATCAAGCTCGGCCAATGAGATGATGCCTTGTCATTGTGATAAAGTTGGAGGTGACTCATCGTTTTTTTATAACGGTGTTGTCCAGGCCAACTTCGCGAATCCCGACTATACCACTACTACACTCTGTCTCACACCAGTACAGGGATCGGATAACTCTGTCCACCAAAACTTAGGCAGATGTGAAGAAGTCACCTAGTTGGAGGAGACTCATCGTCTACAGGCACAGACGACCCAAAATCAATATTTGGATACACCCCACGAGGTTGTTCTTGAGGTTGTATAGAGAACAACTGGCTTGAATCACCTACCACGTCTGCCCACCCATAGTGAGGTTCATCCCTTAAACAACAAGTAAGTCGTTTTACTTTGATGTATCTCGTGACATTAAGGAAAACAGGCAAACATATCTTCATAATTCAAAATATTCGCTCATAAGGGAAGTTTTACTGCATATGAGTGAGTCTCACTTACTCATAAAACGTTTCTTCCTCTACAACCATGTCCCAGCTTTCACCTGTTGTGCTCTTGCCAAATTTGTGCACTTTGCTGATTCATTAAAAAAAATAGGCATAACTTGAGTCATTTTTATATTATATCATTTGGTTTTAAAGGAGGAAAACATATCGAGGAAGTGAACATGCAACTTGCAAGATATCATAGAACATAACGAAATATTAGATTTAGTCATGAAATACCCATTTCCAAAGTGCTCCTCTCCCCATGTCCTTGACCACCCTGGATAATTAGAAGGAAAAAGTATTAGGTTAAGTGTCACATTAATTGTTCAAAAAATGACAATTAATTTGCCCCTAAATCTGAATATAGTTAGCATCTTTAACAAAAGCTTCTGGTTATTGGGTTCTCGTTTCAACACCATAGTCCTTTCCGATAAATCAAAGGTATATGTCAACACCCTAGTACTTTAAGGAGACAAAATGTGCAATCCAAGTTGACAAACAAGAAAAAACAAGATAGGACCTACTTTCACTGCTGGGTGATGCATGCCAAGTCTCCCCTTGTCGTGAACCAATGCCGCCAAAAAATTTCTCCTCCCATTTATCTCCCCATTTCGTTCCCAGTTCAGTTTCTGCCCACTTGTCCGTCCTGAGAAAAGGAGTAATAAAATTCTGTAAGCAACAAAAACCCCTTTTTTCAGTGCCTCGGAAAATGGAGCAAGCTTGAAGAAAGTTCTCAACCATTTCACAAGGTGAATAGGTAATAAAATAAGCAGTTAAGCACGTTATCATCTTATAATGCCATATCATTAACCTAATTGTACTATTACTGAAGGTGTGTCTCAGCTTTTACATTCAAATATTGTCGAACAAAGTTATAAAATAAGTTGAACTTCCTATTCAGGATGGTTGTTTATTAAAAAAGTTAAATTTTTTAGTAAGTTTGTATTTAGATGTTGCCTCTTAAAAAAGATAGATTATCCAATGAAGGGTATCTTGAAAGTACCTAAAATACAAATATTTACTTGACCCATTAAATAGAATATCGTATAATCTATTAGATTGAAAAAAAAACAGAAGAAAAAATCTTTGATGACAAAATGAAGTGAAAAAATACAGGTGTTTTTTTCCCAAACACAAGTCAAAAGTTTAAATTGCATGTAGATCCTACTTGAGAGGCCCCCCCTCAGTTGAGGAGATACCAGCATGACCAATTTTTATTTCATCCCCCCATCAAATTCTGAAACTTGAGTTTGTTTTCCCCGTTAACACATATATTAGCATAAGATATATTCATCATACAAAGTATCCATGTGACATAGGATATAAAGTTGTACAAGACAAAAACAGACTCTACGATTTTCAACCAAATGTGCAAATGGTTAGCTGGTCAAAGCTGTTATCAATGCTTACATGAAAAGTCAAGTTTTACCGATCGAGGAGTCTGGAACCCAAAACGAGTAATGGCAAATGAAAAATAAGATGACCTTTTTATTATAAGGGAAAAATAAGATACCATTTAAGGACAGATCCTCTTCCATCATATTGCTCTCCCCATTTCTCCCACCATGACTGTTCATTTAGTCTACCATACTTGTGGGCCCCTTTCTCTGTCCAACCCTTTGCGTCATATTTTTCCGACCTGCATCGAAGTAATGTGCTCTAACAACATAATTGCAGGTAATTTCATTGTTCATAACAGCATGACTATGAATCTTACCAATTCTCATACCACCCGGCGTTCTCTGTGCCTGATTTTGCTTGTTTTTGTGCACTCCTTTCTATCCTAGCTAGATTGCTGCAGTAAAACAAGCAGCATTATTTATTTATAATGGCTTTGTCAAAGCATAAAATCCAGTTATATTACACCACAACATAACCAGGAATTCAGCAGCTTATAAAATCACAGAAAGTTGGATAACATCTATACAACCTCCACTCGTCTTGGTGAAGAACTTCCTGCCATGTTTCCAACCACGAATCTCCTTCAGCATTTTTTCCAGATTTTTCTGCACCTGCCAATCATCAAACAAAAAAAAACGGATAAATCATGATTTCTCGGAAGAATAAAGTGAAAATTGATTGACTTCAAAATAATACTCAAATCAATGCTTAAAACGGATACGACATAGAGAACTTGGCCAAGTGAAGTAAACTGATACAACAAAAAATTAGCATTACCTAGTTCTTTGTAACCAGTCCAGTCGCTTTTTTCCCACCACTGTCAAGGAGATCAAGAAATCCAATTAAATGCATCCACCTGGGATGATACTAGATAAGGTTATAAAATAATGTCAACAAATTACTATTGCGATCAGCAATGATCTAGCATCATACTATATGCTTACAAACTTGTAAATAGGACTAACTAGAAAAGCCGCAAAGGATATTCCTAGATGCAGATCACTAGCTTTTCTCCAAGTACCCTTTAGTTCTTTAACTCTGAGGGTAAACCTTAGCTTAACAGAAAAGCTCAATAATCTGCAAGCATCCCCAGGCTCTAACCAGAATATCAATTGCTTTCAAATACAGGACAGAAGTATGTTCTGAGATAGAAAAACCGTCCACAGATTCCCATGTTAAGAAAATTATTCACAGGTACCAGGAAATCCACCCTAACCAGTACTGAAAGTTAATGTTCTCTAAATGCTAAACGTGAAAACTTCCTGGAGTTCTTGACGGGCAAAACCTTGACTTATGTTTCTTCTGACATCAATATAATTAAGAGTCCTCAATCCTCATTGTAAGGGTATCAGTATGAGTTGAATTACTTAAGTACCTTTATCTCCGGAATTAATATTTTTTATTCTTGACCGCTAATTAAACAGAAGTTTAGAGGGAACATAGTACTATGAGGATAAAACTATCGACAGTTACATAGTACATTAACAATATTCTATGAACATAAAAAATGGCATGATTCGATGCCAAACAAGGTAAAGTTGATGCCTTCATTACTAGGAGTATTACTCTAATTGAATCAGCTTCCCAAGTTCAAGTGTTCAAACGTTTTGGTCTCTCATATGTACATATATCAAGTTTTGCCGCAAAAAATAATTTGTCAACAGTCATTGAGGCACTATTTTTTTTTCTTTTAAAATGGATCTTTGATGATAGACTCAAGAACTTACATAGTTGAACACTCAGTCAATTTAAAATGTGCTACATGTAAGTGCTTGGCAAAGTATTTCCATGAAACATGTTGGCTGACTATAGTTCTTCAACATAATCTTATAGCAACATGACTATAAGGACATATGTACCATTTCTTTCCATTCTGTGGTACCATCATGGCTCTGCCCACCCATCCTTGTCCATCGGCATCGGTATCCATTGTCACCAATATCTTCTCCACTCTTCCGATACCAA